ATCCAACAGGTAGAGTCCCCAAGCAACTGGCATAAATAGATGTAAAACTTCTCTTGAGAAGAGCACAACTACTCTAAAGTCTCAGGAAACCCCAGAAATAAAGTTTAAAGGACAAAATCATCAAAATGTCACAGATTTCTCAGAATCCATAATACAAGAAGGTATGAACATGAACAACGTGAGTAACAACAGAATCAAGGACAGCCATACACAGCTCCCCCAGTGCCCTTCAACACCTTCCAATGAGAAAACTTAACATTGTGTTTACTGTGAAGGAGAGATGCTTGAAGAATTCAACCCATTATCACAGAGCATGTATTGAAGGATGAATTCATAGCTGAGAGGCAATATATGATACCTGCCTGCCTTAGTTATGTAGTGCTGGTATAACAGAAATATCACAAGTGGATGGCTTTAACAAAGAGAAATTTATTCTCTCACAGTCTAGGAAGCTAGAAGTCTGAATTCATGGAGTCAGCTCCAGGAGAAGGCTTTCTCTCTCTACAGGCTCTAGGGAACGATCCTTGTCATCAATCTTTACTGGTCCAGGAGCTTCTCTGTGGGACCCCGGGTCCAAAGGACATGCTATTCTCCTGGCTCTTGTTTATTGGTGGTATAAGGTCTCCCTGTCTCTCTGCTTGCTTTTCTCTTTTATATCTCCAAAGAGATTGATTTAAGATGTAATCTAATCTTGTAGAATGAGTCCTGCCTCATTAACATCATAGAGGTAGGATTTGCAAAAAAAAAAAGTGTCATCATATCAAATGACAAAATGATGGACAGTCACAAAATACTGGGAATCATGGTCTAGCCAAGTTGACACATTTCTGGGGGGACACCATTCAATCCATAACATTGCCACAAACTTTAATATGAATTTGACAAAAAAGGAAGTGCAAATGGCCTAAAAATATACAAAAACATGGTCAACCTCATTAGTTGACTGGGAAATTCTATCAGGTACTTCTATACACACTTGATATTGGTAAAAATTAAAAAGTCTGACAATCCTAATAATAGGTTATGTCGTAAAGCACCAAGAACTCTCATATACTACTGCTGCATGATTGTAAATTGCTGCATACACTGCTGACGCACCTATGTAAGCATGTCAATAGATAGAACTACTCTGGAAAGTAGTGAGGCAGGACCTAGTAAAGCTTCATATACATATGCCCTATGAGAAGGAAATTCCATTTTGAGGTATATGCTCTAGAGATATGTGTGCTTAGGTGCACCTGGGTACAGGAATGAGAATTTTTCAAAGCAGCTTTGCTTAAAATTGTCAAAAATGAGCATCAATGAAAATGTTTATTAATAGTAGCTATGATAAATTGTGTAATTTTCATACAGTGAATTCCTATGCAGCAATGAAAATCAATAAATTAGAGATGCATACAACAAAATAGATGCTCTTATAATGTTGAGTGGAAATGCTAGACACAAATGTATGTGTACAACAGATGATTCCATTTATATAAAATTCCACACCAAGCATGCACACTTTTTGGTTTATTTTATAATAAAATTTTAAATATGTATTTATTGTACATATAATATCACAGTTTAATTGATACATATAAAAAATTATATTCACAAAGCTACAGGCTCAGTACCAGGCACTATTTGGTCAATTAATATTTGCTGAATAAATGGATGAATTTTTTTTAAATTAATAATAGAGAGCTTTAATTCTATCAATGTTCTTATTACTGGGCATAAGCGGTGTATCTTGTACCAACTTATATCTCCAGTTTAGGCATCTCTTTTAAATTAGAAACTCTTAAATTTCTTCTTGTAGGTCTCAGAGCACTTCAAATGTACTTTGTCTAAAATCTAACTCATACTCTTCCCTCATCTCCCTCCATACTTCAATCCCAACAAACCCCTCACTTGCAAAGAAGCCACCACATATCCAGTTGTGAAATCCAGAAACACCGAGTCATCCTTGGAACTACCCTGTACCTCAACCCTCACAGTCAGTCCATTACCAAGTGGAGTTCTGCTGGTGCCCTGGTTAAGAGCTCGGCTGCTACCCAAAAGATTGGCGTTTCAAATCCATCAGTTGCTCCTTGGAAACCCTATGGGGCAGTTCTACTCTGTGCTTTAAGGTCGCTGTGAGTTTCACTCGACTCGATGGCAACAGTTTTAGTTTAGTCTTTTTTTTTTGTTTTTTGGTCCATTTGGAACCCCCCATATTCCCAAATCCATCTCCCCCATCATGGCCTTAGACCAAGCCACCAGCTGGATTCCTGAAATAGCTTCCTAACTGGTCTTGCATCTAGTCTTGCCTCTCTTGATAGTGTACTCCACTGAAACCTGCGTGATCTTTTTAAACAGCAAATTGGATCACATTATCTGCCTGCAAAAACCTTCCATATCTTTCCATTATATACAAGATAAACACAAAAGACACTTAGACCCCCAGACGCTTTGTTCACCCAGAACAAAAGCCATTCCCGAAGATCACTCCTCAGACAAAGATTAGACTGCACTCTAAAATATAAAATAATACTTGTGAAGAGTATCATTAGCTCAAGCAGATACACAAAACCAAACAGGCGGCTCCTGTCCAGAGGCAGGATGAGAAGGCAGAGAGGGACAGGAACAGGTTGAATGGATACAAGAAACCCGGGGTAGAGAGGGGGAGTGTGTTGTCACATTACAGGAATTGCAACTAAAGTTACATACGAAAAAAAAAAAAGAGAGAGACAAAAAAAGTTAATAATAAGAAAATATTCAAACTGTTCAAAAAAAAGACACTTAGAGGGACCTTCCTAATAACTGGTCTCATACAAACATCTTCTACCTCAAATTTAACATTGTTTTTTTCTGGCATTCTTTAATCCATGCCTGTATTACTTTCACTTACAGAACTGAGAGCAATGATCGCATCTTAAATTAGTTACCACCAGTAATATAACACTAATACCCAAAAGAGTACACCAGGTAGTAGATTGTGAATTAATATTTGTTTAATAATTGCATAGTAAAAAGATAAATAAATGAAAACATAAATTCTATCAAGTTCACTTACAATTACAACCTTAAGTAGTATACTATAATGAATTTTTTTTTGCAACTCCAAAAATTAACAATGTAAAGTTGTTAGCATAACCATAAATATTCACAGGAAAGAAATTTTGACGAAGATCTGACATTGTCAGATATGGAAACATATTTTTATCAGTCAGAGCTTTTGGTTGCAAACAACAGAAACCAACCAAGTCTAAACAAAGCAGAAAATAAAATTATTGAATGACTTAGAGATTTAATCGAAAGTCTAGGGAACTCTGTGTAGAAAATGTACAAGAAACCAGCTGGCATAAACACAGTCCACAGCAAACCAGAGAAAGAAATTGTATAGGATCCCACCACCACCACAGACAGGCAGTGAATAGCCGTACTGGTTCCACCACGACTGGACACCAGTCACGGGACATTGGATATTGGAGGCCTCTGCTGCTGCCATTCTCTTTGCAAACATTTTTGACTCTGTGAATTGAGCATTAGTACAATTTCCACATGAATAATTTCAATAAGTGCTCTTCAAGAATATGTTTGCATTCCTAGAAGCTTTAACCCACAAAAACCAAACCTGTTGCCATTGAGATGGTTCCAACTCATGGCAACCACATGTGTTACAGAACAGAGCTGAGCTCCATAGGGTTTTCTGGGCTATAATCTTCATGGAAGCAGATCACTAGGGCTTCTTCTGCAATGCCACTGGGTGGGTTCCAACCCCCAATCTTCAGGCTAGTAGCAGAGGGCAAACTATTTGCACCACCCAGGGATCTTCAGCAACTATAACAGGGAAACTAAAATATAACTATTTCCATCAGAGAATCGACAAAAATAGTATTTGGTATATTCAAATAGTACTGCCATATTTAAAAACAAAGAAAAGTACAGCTTCCAATATTTTTAACCATAACTCTATGCTCTAAAACTTTCACCATTGTACTCCATGGTTCTTTGCATAAATGTCCCCTCATGCACACCCTACCCTGAGCTCAGCCCTGCTGACCTGAGACTCATAAAAAGCTATAAAGGATAGAAACTGCTGAATCTGTGTATGTGTTGCTGTGTATATTCTCAACAACAACAGCAAAATAAAAAATTGAAAAAATAAAGCCACGAAGCAGCCTTTCCTGCAAGATGGAGTCTGAGCAATACCATATAAAAGAGAAGTTGCAGGATGGGGGCACCATCCAGATCTTCAGGCTCCTGCTTTACTGTGTTCCAGGTGAGATGGAACTTAGAGATGGAGTTCTCTCTCCAGAGTGATCCTCCTATTCAGATAGGTCTACAATTTGAAATGAGACAGGAAATAAACGTTACAAGCCACACAGGCCTGCCCACTTGTCCTACTTAGAGATCATTTGGGTTTGATTTTCTTTTTATCCCTGATTGCACAGCATCTCTGGCTCTTCCTCATGTGCCTGTCATTTTAGGTTCCAGTGGGCAGATCCTGCTCAGTAGGTGTCAGAATCTCTGGCTGTTTCCCTAGCACAGAAAGTCTCTGTTAGCTGCAGGGCCAGTCAGAGTCTCGTCTACACTGACTGGAAACACTACCTGGGCTGGCATCAGCATAAACCTGAGCAGGGATCTATGGGCCTCATTTACCACACTTCCTCTGTATGTGTTGTTGTGATGCTAAATAGTTTTCAGCAGCACTTTCAGACTAACACAGACTAGAAAGAAAGGCCTGGTGATCTATTTCTGAAAAATCCGCCAGTGAAAACCCTATGGATCACAACAGTCAGATTCTATTGTGCATGGGGTTGTCATGAGTCAGGGGCTGACAAGATGCCAACCAACAACAAGGAATAACTATTATTTCCTTCAGTCACTAAACTTGGGTGCCCAAGGAATCAATTTAAAGAGGAAATTGACAACTAATGAAAAAACAATATGGGAAAGCTGTCACATATTTCTAAAGGGACAGGGTTAATGAATTAGAGACTGGCCTTTGTGAGAATGAGAACCACTGAAAGAAATGGAGAGAGGAGGAAAGGGCAGTAAAATGGGAGGTTAGAGCAGGAAAACACGTTCAGTGACATTGACCAGGAAGGCTTGGCTGGAAAAAAGGATCCATGGAAGGAAAAAGTAAGAGAGGAATACTACCTTCTATAGGGGACATTTTAAATATGGAGGGCCTAGGTTTAATATTGGGCCAGGTCCAGAGTTGTCAGGGATAGCTGCAGCGAAAGGAGAAAGGCAGGGAAAACAAGGAATTGAATGGGTACATCCAAGAGTCAAGAAGGCACAGGGAAGAGAGAACTGATCTTTCAGATCATAAAACTCACTGGATCCTTCCCAAACTCAGTCATGTGATCTATCCACGTGAGACATACAAGTTCCTGTGACATGAAAATTCCTGACAGAGTCCATAAGATATTTTTACAGCTTTTTTCATATGTAATTTACCACAAAGGGGGATACAGAAGAAGCCACATCCCTTAATTTTCTCCTGGGTCCTGCAAATACTCCAAGGAATTAGTCAGGAGATGCAGACTTTGCGACAGACAGAGGAAGCGTGCGTGTTCAGGGCTGAACAGAAAGAAAGCAGCTGGTGCAGTGAACACTAACTGGCCTGTAGCCCTGGGGAAGAGGTTTGTGTTCGAGGCCGAAGCACTGTGGGAGTAGAGCTATAATAACCATACTGACAATAATAAACTGCGACATCTTCAGCCTGGAGGCTGCTGATGGTGAGAGTGAAGTCTGTCCCAGACCCACTGCCGCTGAACCTGTCAGGGACCCCAGATGCCCATTTAGATGCACTGTAGATGAGCAGCTTAGGAGCCTGTCCTAGTTTCTGCTGATACCAGCTTATATAGCTGCTCGCACTCTGACTGGACTTGCAGTTGATGGTGACCCTTTCTCCTGGAGACGCAGCCAGAGAGGCTGGAGAATGGGTCAGCACAATGTCCCCACTGGCACCTGCAATCAGAGTGGACAACTACCATGCATACATATATACACACACTTTTTCACAGGCATGTTGAAATATACCATTTATACAAAAGCATCTAGTGATATTACATATCTGCACATAACTGGTTCCATTTTGGAAATAACCATCATTTCCCACTATATCTTAAAATCATTTTTCAGGTCTACAAAGATACTACTCTAGAGGGATTGAAGCACTTTTAATTTCTCACCAGAGGCCCAGAGCAACAGGGACATGAGGAACAGAGTCTGTGGCACCATCTTGCTGCCCCTGCCTGCCTGATGCTGATCAGCTCACATTGCAAAGGTCCTGTTTATAAAATCTGATCAGCCAGCCTGGGCCTGGAGGGTCTATGCAAAGCAATCAGTGAACTGAAAGGAAATTGCACAGGCAGTGAGTTGTGAAACTAACCAACATACATGAAGAGCCAAAAATATCACAGAAAGTTATAATTTTATGACTAGAAAAGGCACAAAAATGACTTAGAAGCTCTAATATCAACTTTAAAAAAAAAGCCTTTTGCATTCCAATCCATTCCAAGTCATGGAGACCCCATATATTACACAGCAGAACTGCTCCGTAGGGTTTTCTTGCCTGTATTCTTTATAGAAGATCACCAGGCTTTTCTTCCGCAGTACCACAGGTTATGTTCAAACTGCCAACCTTTAGGTTACCAACTGATCACAAACTGCTTGATGCACCCATAATCTAATGCATAGCTTCTGTTTTAACTCAAAAACAGTTTTAAATGGGTTCAGGTTCCTTAAATTATGTGAAATAATTTTTTTTTAAATGCTGAAGAAAAATAAAGGAAATGGAAAAATATGTGAAATTTTTGCCTCAGTTTTTGGTAAAAATTTATAACTAGATAATGTCTGAGCTCTAAAGAAGCTTTTATCCTGAAGGATACTTTAAAGACAAGGCAAACACATAAGATTGCATTCCAGGGCTACACAAGGGCCAGAGAAATGGAAGACAGGCCCAGAATTTACCATATGAAAAGGCCTCAGAAACCCAGTATTCATCTAGTGCCCAAAGGGGCTCTAATCTTAAAGGAAGTGTGAACCAAAGAGAAAGTGGAACCTGTCATGCCCACAAAGGCTAGGAACTGATAAGTGGGCTCTAGGTTCATTGTGGAAAGGGACAGGAAAAAACAAATATGATTTTCCGGTGAACTTTTGATGGAACACCAATCCTTCGAGGAGTTTCATTCTAGGTATGCATGGCCTCAGTGTACCTGAAACTCTTCAGTCTTGAAGTTGGTTTAAGGTAGCCCTACTGGTAGGGCCAACAAAAGGGAGCTCCTCTGGGAGAGGGCACACCCATCATAAATCTTTAGGAAACCTCACAAATAATTTTTTGAGGGATAAACACACTAAGAAGTCAGAGATTCTTGACCTCCAAGAAAACAAGATAAATAGAAAAATCTTGCTGAAAGCACAGAAGATTTGAAGCACTTACTGATGAAGATCAAAAACTGCAGTCTTCAGTATGGCTTACGCCTCAACGTTAAAAAAAATCCTCACAATTGCACTAATAAGCAACATCATGATAAACAGAAAAAATATTGAAGTTGACAAGGATTTCATTTTATATGGATCCATAATCAGCAACCAGGGAAGCAGCAGTCAAGAAATCGAACAACTTATTGCATTTGGCAAATTTGCTGCAAAAGAACTCTTGAAAGTGTGAAAAAGCAAAGATGTCACTTTGAGGACTAAAGTGCACCTGACCCAAGCCATGATATTTTCAGTCACCTCATTATACATGTGAATGCTGGACAATGAATAAAGAAGAGCAAAGAAAAATTGATGCCTTTGAATTATGGTGTTGAGTATACCACGGACTGCCAGAAGAATGAATAAATCTGTCTTGAAAGAAGTACAGCCAGAAGGCTCCTTAGAAGCGAGGACGGTAAGACTTCGTCTCATATATTTTGGACATGTTATCTATCAGGAGGGACCAGGCCCTGGAGAAGGACATCATGCTTGGTAAAGTAGAAGGTCAGGGAAAAAAGAGGAAGAGGCCTCAACAAGATGGATTGACACAGTGGCTACAACAATGAGCTCAAACATACAAAAGACTGTGAGGATGGCACAGGAGTAGGGAGCGTTTCCTGCTGTTGTACATAGAACAGGGTCACTATGACTTGAAGCGGATTGATGGCACCTTACACAACAACAACAGGATATGAATACAAATGTGATGCAACAGAAATAACAGAAAACAAAGCAAGTTCTGCTCACACTTCAGATTTATACATGAAATGAGTTTATTTAAAGAAATAAATGACATAATTGACATTGCATGCAGGGTACAGGAAGCTACAAAGAGAACACTTCAGATCTGAAAAAGAAGCAACTAAATTTCTAGAAATTAGAAAGAGAATTGCCAAAATTTTAAAACTCAGTGGGAGAGGTATTTTCACTTGTAGGGTAGATGGAATAACAAGGACAAGGTTTACCCTCACACATGAAACAAACAACAACAACAATTAAGTAATTAATTAAAAATTATATTTAGTGTTTAACCCACTCACCTCCTAATCCATCAGAATTGGCCTCAAAAAAAAAAAAAAAAAAAGGCTGGCAATGTACTTCTGAAAAATCAGCCATTGAAAACCCTATGGATCACAGTTCTACTCTGACACACATGGGGTCACCCTGAATTAGAATCAGCTCAACAGCAAATGGTTTTTAGTCTTACAGAAGTAGATCACCAGGCCTTTCTTCCAAGGCCCCACTAGCAGATTCAAACTGCTAACATTTCTGTTAGTAGTCAAGCACAGAACATTTGCTCCACATCACTAGCTAAATCTTAGTTTTGGACAGAGAATCCAAGATAATAGCTGTCTGTTACTGCCGTATTCAAAAAATAAGTCAGAAAAGAGCACCCTGTAAGATTTTTTACCACACGCTTGTGATCTAAGAATTTCACCATCATACTCTCTGGCTCTTGGCATAAATGTCCCCTTACCACCACCTTACCCTATCCTCAGCCCTGCTGATCTGAGGCTCATAAAAGAAGCCTTTTCTGGTGGGCGGAACCTGAGAAACATCACACAAGAGAGAAGCTGTAATATGGTGATACCATCCAGATCCTCAGGCTCCTGCTCTCCTCTGTTCCAGGTGAGAGGATATTTGCAAACCTAGACATGGAGTTTTCTCTCCAGAGTAATCCTCCCATGCACATATATCATTTTAAAGTAAGACGCAAAATATATGCTATAAGCAATACAGGCTTGTCCACCTATCACAGCTAGACTATTTTGGTTTGTTTCTTTTGTCCTTGATTGCACAGAATCTCTGCATCATCCCCGTGTGCCTGTCATTGCAGGTTCTTGCCAGCAGATGGCGATGACACGGGCTCCAGAGGCCCTGGCTGTCTCCCTGGGAGAGAGTCTCCATCAGCTGAAGGACCAGTCTGTCTTCTCTACACTGATGTGAGACACCATGTAACCTGGGCAGACTCCTAAGGTCCTCATTTACCACATTTCCACCCGCGTTGATGGGGTGCCCACCCTCTTCAGTGGCAGTGGATCTGAGGCCAACTTCACTCTCGCCTTCAGCACCATCAGATCAAAGATAGGAAACAAATTACTGTGTTCCAAAATCAAGATATCCTCTCATAATAATGTGACCCCAAATATAAACCTCTTACCAAGGCAGAGGTGGGGGAAGGGTCCCACTTACTGGGCACTGTCACAGAGACTGCTGTGGTTTATTTGTTTGTTTTGATCATGCAAAACAGGTGGCATGGAATAGTCAAAAATTCAGCATCTGGGCCTCCTCTGACTCCAAAAGAGAGCAGGTCTCCTGCTCTTCCTGCTCACTTCCTTTAAATCTGCTCTCAGCCCTCACTCTGGGCTTCACTACATGGTCATTTGCAGTCCCATCTGATCCTCTCTAATCTGACCTCAACCGTGACTCCCAAATGCCTTTCCTGCTGTCCCGGAACAGACCCTCCTCTTTAGGCCAAAGGCAGGAGCCAGGATCCCCTGAGAATTCCTCTGCCCTGCTTTCCTCACTCAAGTTTATGTCAGAGAAAACGTCTCAGGAATAAGAACATATTAGATCCCTGCTAATCTTAGAATAAAAGCAGTGCCAGTTATATTTTCCCAAAAACATTTTAACAAAAAAGGCTACTAGTACAAAACTGAGGAAGAGAAAATAAGTTCTTTTTATCATGAGAAAAATTTTAAAATGTAGTGTCTGCTCTTTTTTTTATTTGTATGAGTCAGAATTTTACCATTTTCTGAAAACAAGATTTTAACAAACCTATTTTGGCTGTCTCTGAATCCCTCACATTCCCATTTCCCTACTTGTTTTTGTTAGCTGCCATTGAGTCGATTTTCGAGTCATACCCATTTTAAATTCCAAGATTCTCCTTTATAATAATTATTATATGATATAACAACCATATAATAATTATTGTAATAATGCCCTTACCCAAACCAAGAACTCCATGGCACCTCTCTTATTTCATTGCATTCATCTTGCTAAACCTAAAGCTTGGTAAAAACTCCACCCTCCACATACCTGCCTCTACATCCCTAAAGTGGCTGGAGAAAAATGCATAATTATTCTGATTCATCTCACCATAAATTTATGCACACTACCTCATGAAAACCCTTCATCCTGCCTCACAATCAAACTTCACTTACCTGGTTCCTTCAGTCTCTACCCTTTCTCTTTTCTTTTCTCTTCAAGTTTTAACACCTACTTCTTATCCTACCTCTCAGCAAATTACCTCATATCTTGTTTCTTGGAAGAGCTTCCACCAGTTCCTCTCCTGCATCTTCTGATCCACAGGCATGTACATCCCCCTATTCTGCCTTCTTTCCTTCCCATTACTGTAGATAAGCAGACAGCCCTCCTATCTGAGGCCATTCCCTCTGTTCCTATACCACTGTCCCACACAAGGGCATTTCTTGGCATTTCTCACCTCTGTTTTCTGAGCTATCAATGTTCCCCTCACGTTAGCGTCATTCCCATCAGCATGACACATCATTTTTTAAAAACTCTCTTGATTTCACATCTCCCTCCAGTTATGTCCTGTTTCACTCTTCTCCTTTACCTTAAAGCTCACTGAAAGACTTGTATATAATCACCAAACCCAAACTGTCTCTTTTCCATACTCCCTTAGGATCCCAGCATTGAAGGTGTTAACCACACCTTCTCATAGAAACTGCTCTACTCAAAGTCACCAATAACTTCCACACTGACAAATCCTATGGTCACGTTTCAGTCCTCATCTTACCAGACCCATCAGTAGCATTAAATACATTGGAGACACCCTTCTGCTTAATACAATCTCTTCAGTGAGCTCCTGGTGTCACATTTCTTGTCTTCCATCCACACAGCTCCTTCTCAGACTCCTTTGCTGGTTCCTCCTCATGTCCCCTATGTCAGAGCTCAGTCCCTGAGCATATTCTCCAATTCATCTATGCAACACTCATTTCATTACT